AGCGCTCTTTGCATTAAGAGGAGAAAAGTTAATTAAAAGCGAGATCCAATCGATTAAACTCGGGGGCTCAAAGTCAGGGTCAATTTACTATTAAAGTCGAGATAGTACGTCTCTCCCATTGTGAAGATACATATATATATATATAGGCATAATTTCCTAAAAAACCCCAACTTTAGGTTAAATCCCAAATCTACCCAGAACTTTTTTTATCTAAAAAATAACCCCAAACTTTAGGTCTAGTCTTAAATCTGGCCTGAACTTTTTTTGTCTCGGAAAAAACCCTAAACTTTAAATCCAGTCTCAAATCTGCCCCAAATTTTGTTTTGTGTAAAAAAAAATTCACCAAAATTCAATTTATTTTAAAAAAAAATACCCCGTGATCCGATCCTAACTTGACGTGACACTTCCACATCGATAACAAATCTACATCAACAGAGTAATTGGGCTTTTTTTTAGATAAAGAAAAGTTCAGCCAAATTTGGACTAAACCTAAAAATTAATTTTTTTTTTAAATTAAAAAAAGTTCTTTTGGGTGGATTTGTTATCGTCTCTAACTTTCATATCCTAGAACAGTTTTATTTTAGAGAATTTCAACAATTTTTATTGGGTTGAATTTGTTATCGAAGTAGAAATGCGACGTTGGTCTGTACCTATCGCCTCATAGACGTGGAAGTGCCACATTAAGTTGGAACTAGATAGCGGGGTATATTTTTGACAATAAATTGAATTTTGGTGATTTTTTTTTTACACAAAACAAAATTTGGGGCAGATTTGGGACTGAACCTAAAATTTGGGGTTTTTTCTTAGACAAAAAAAAGTTCTGGGTAGATTTGGCATTGGACCTAAAGTTTGGAGTTTTTTCTGAGACAAAAAAAAGTTCGGGGCAGATTTGAAATTGGACCTAAAGTTTGGGGTTTTTTAGGGAATTCACCCTATATATATACATATATTGGATACTGCTTAAGGTGCAATGGCCCCTCCGTTCAATAAGCCTTGACAAAAAGGACTCTGTAGAGGGAGCGTCCTCCAGACCAAAAAAAAACACAAAGAGAGAGAGCGTCCTTTTGAGAAAATAACAAAGTACTAATGCCCACCCAATCCGACCCCTCTCCACAGAAGACTGTCCCCTTCTTGACTTGGGGGTGTTCGCTGCCCGATAAAAAAGCAGATTCCCTTCGAGTTGAACGAACAACGTTTGGATGATGACGAAAGATGAACGACGTAATCAAGCCTACGTCGTCTGGAAAGACAACTTTGCCAAAATAAATGAGTTCTTGAAAGCTTTCAGAAACTTTTTTCCGTTAACCCATTGCTCCAGAGCCCTTAATAAAGCTGCGGATTGGGTCGTTATATCGCGGAGTCGAGCTGGGTTTCGAGCCCCCCCTCGACCCCTTTTGGACGGTCTTTGTTCTGAAGTCCATTTGGGTTGTTCTTCTGCTTTATCTACATGAAATGAGATGAGCTTTTTCTGACCCAAAAGAAAAAAGAAAAGAACGGGCAAAGGACAGACCCCGTTACCCCAGTCTTGGACCTAATCTCCATATAAGTCGAATTACATGGCATATATAATAGACTTATAATGGCATAGCCAGCTCACTGTAATGTAAGATAGATCTTATGGAACGGGAAGATGATAGTTGTGCAGGTGAAAAACTAGTGAAGGCTCGCAGAACACGAGGCACATAATATATCGGGGACTAACTCTACTTGATTTAGGTTTACCAGTTGGGCAGAATCCAAAACAATTTTGTTGGAGGAATTACTAATTTGAAATGACATTTTCCCACTTCTCGTCTTCTTAGGCAATACTCATGTCGCAACGCCTCTTTCTTAGTTGAAAGAAGGAATTGAATGACGATGTCGAGGCTCTTTTTAGGATCAAGCTTGAGTAATTGAGAATCGTGCACAAGAAAGTAGAATTTGCGAATCCTACTATATAAAATGAGGAGCCAGTATGTAAACTAAAAGAAAAAAATAGCCATTAAATTAGGCGTTTTCTAAGGCGCAACTCACGCATCGGCTCGTGACAGATCTGTGTTATCATATCGAGTCTGACATAATGACTAAAATATTATTAGTAAGCGCTAACAAATGAATCTCTAGCGATCTGCGTGTTTTTGTTTGACCACCCTCATAACGTGTCGTTTTGTCCACGGTAATCTTGAGCACGGCTACACATATATAATCGCAAAATTTCCATCGATGAAGATCATCTCGTCACACTTTTTGAGAGTTATGACAATACTCTTGGAGAGATGCTAGGGAAAATGTTAGAACCAGAAAAGTTTATATAATTTGTATGAGGATACCGTACAGAGTAATTGGACATTTACGTTAATTATCATTATTATTATTATTATTATTATGAGAAGATTGAAGGTACACAGACATCACATACATTCCCCCAAAAAGCCATGCTGTTTTGTTTAATTTCCATGTAGAGAAAGATAAATAATAATGAGAAAGAAGAACAAAAAGCAATGACCTTGGTGATGGTGCATATGACATATCCCATCAAAAATCATCGTTCCACTATCTAGGATGCAAAAAATTATGCGCGGGTACGACAACAATGTCGGAAACACTTATATTTTTTTGGCCGAAAATGTCGGAAATATTTAATAAACTAGGATACGATTGTTTTTGTTCTGGGAAGATGCGTAATGTCACGTAAAGCAACATAAATAACTTTGAAATTTTAGTCAAGTGGGTGAAAATTAAATTCGAGTTCGGTCTTCTGTCGAAATTTAATGGGTCAGGACACGCACGAAAAAGTAATTACACTCGAAAGTTTCGTAGAACAGATTTGTCCATCTTGACAAAGGACATGGACATAAGTCCGAATTTTACCACCCCGTTGAAGCAATAGATGGAGACGAGATCAATTATTTAGACACTTATACTCTCCCTCGCACGTAAGCTTACAATAAACCTAATATTAGACAAATGAAGGGTTTCAATAGTACTAGAAAGTGCCTCCTAAATAAGGGTCAGAAATTATGAGAACAGTCAAATAAAATGAGCCATGCAAAAAAAAAAAAAAAAACTTAAATTAAAGAAGTCATGTGAACGGGGAATAGGGCCTGCTGATCTAACTGTGATTAACCATCGATTAAGAATTTCGACGTTATTGATGTCATAAATCGTCAATCAGAAAAGTGGATAGGGACTCTCCTGAGTTGTTTCGAAATTCCTTTATTAGAAATCGAGATCAATCGTGAAATGAGATGATCAATTCATTTGCTCAAGCGGTTTTGTAAGCTGTGGGGAAATGCAGTTCAAGATTTATCTCCACCAAATAAGCCTTCGCCACAAAAAATTTTGGGAGACTAGGTGCCAGATCATAGATTTAATTACCAAGTGATACTGGGACAGTCGTTATGTGCACTTCTTTAACAAAGTAACACACCCTATAAGCGAGCGTGTGATGGTCCCAGTACCCGAGCTTGGATCCCAACGCCCGGGCCCAAGTCCACAAAGGCTATGCTCGGGTCCATCCGCCTGATCGTATTAATTTGAAAAAATGGGTATTAGCAAACAGACAAACTTATTCCGATTGTCCTGACAAGTTTTTTCTTATTCGGTCGATTTCCATCGAGGCCGGTACTAGGACTCCATGCCTGCGCTTAGGCCGGGCTAGGCCCAAGACCAAGGTGCCCGTGCCACGATCCCCGACGCCTAGGTCGGGGTCCATCGAGGCCAAACTTGGAACTTTAGTGTTCGTACCCAATTTCCAGCTACCCACGTGCAAATTATTGGTGCTGGAATAGTGTATGTTTGCTTAGGAAATTCAAATTAGATTTTCCTTTTTAAACAATGGAAAGTATTTTCATGTTTGAGTCAAATACCGGAAAATATTATCATTTTACTACGAAATGTCATATTTTTTTCACGACACAATGCAAATTTTTTATCTTTTGTTTTTTTGTTTTTTTTCGTCTAGAAATGTCTGACGGTGAATATTGGATACTGCTAAGATGCAATGCAAAGGCCCTCCTCCATTCAATAATCCTTGAGAAAGAGGACTGTGTGGACAGAGCCCGTTCGAGAAAACATAACTAAAGTACTGATGCCCCAATCCGACACCTCTCCACAGAAGACTGTCTCCTTCTTGAATTGGGGGGGTGTTCTCTCTCTGTTCGATGAGAAAAGCAGATTCCTTTCGAGTTGAACAACAACAACAACGGTTGGATGATGACGAAATATGAACAACGTAATGTAGCCTTCGTCGTCCGTGTGCCATAGAAAAGCATAGGTTAATTCATTTTCTAGAGCACTGGAAAAAATAAGTTTGCTGAAATAAATGAGTTTTTGAAAGCTTTCAGAAACTTTTAAGCATAGGTTAATTCTGGACGTTCTTTGGTTTGTTCTTCTACTTTATCTACATGAAATGAAATGAGCTTTTTCTGACCCCCAGAAAAAAAAAAATTTCGGGCAAAAGACCCCGTTACCCCAGTCTCGAAACTAATCTCCAAATAAGTCAGATTATGTGGCATATATAATAGAGTTATAAAGACATAGCCAGCTCACTGTAATATAAGATGGATTTTACAGAACGTGAAGATGACACTTCGTGCATATTAAAAGATTAGTGAAGAAGGCTCACAGAACACGAGGCACGTATTCTAGCGGGAACTAACTCTACTTGATTTAGGTTTACAAGTCGGTCAAAATCCAAAATAATTTGTTGGAGTGATTATAATTTGAAATGACCTTTTTCCTCCTCTCGTCTTCCTAGGTAATACTCATGCCACGATGCCTCTTTCTTAGCTAAAAGAATCGTATCAGATCAATCCCAAGCACATGAAACATTTTGAACGATCGAGGTTTGAATAGCCAATTTGACTTGAGCTCAAGCAGTAACTCTTGTCGACTTGACTATGCTCATCCATACCCCCAACCGCAACCGCTGGGTTTATAACATGATCAGAATTGGCACATCACGAAGTGAAAATACATGTCTAAATCTTGAGCATGAGATGAGATAAAGAATTCGATCGTCAGCAAATAGAGCACGCTATCATTTCACTGGTATGAAATGGGCCGAATCCAGTAGCCATTTGGGTCTCTCCTTTTTGGGCTTTGGCATCAAGAAACTGACCAATGTGAAAGCCCATACACTATATGAATAGGAAATGGAAATGCTACGATTCAGTTTTTCACAGCACAGTGGCTTCAGTCATGCCTAGTGTTGCTATGCAGTTCCGTTACAATCACACACAGATCGAAGAAATGAGCATCCCGCACCGTGGTGGTAGTGTTCACAAACTACAACTTGCTCTTAGGAACCCCGACATCTCTGGACCTCCTCTCCACGGCTCTGGAAACTCGCCTCACCTCGTCTTTGGGAAGATGGCGTGGTGTGCTCAGCCATGATCCTCCATCTACTACCAATGTAGTTCCGTTGATGAACTTCCCTGTCGTTACCAGAAAATGCACATATAACATAAGGATCGGTGCCCTTTGGCACAAATATCTCATCATCTCATACATAGATGCGGTAATTTGAATTCATACATCGTCCCTCAAGCAAGTGATTCGAGTTTTTTCAACGTTCAATTATTAAACTATGAAGCGTTCCAACTTGAGAAGATGAGATGGTACTTGTAATCCTGAGTCTCATTTTCATCAAGCATGAGGATTCATGAATGCATCAAATGGTAGCAACAGAGAAATACAAAAGCACTCGGATCAAACTGAACAGCATGAAGGCAGAGAGAATGGTTATGTATGCAAGCAGGAAGCAGCTAAAAGAGTTCCATCACAGCACCGAAATGCCAACCAACGTGTCCCTTATAAACAGATGGCAGACAGAACCAGTTCAAAGGCCAATTTTCTTTTCTGGGGACCAGATTAATATTCAGCTTTCTTTCCTGATTTGGCAGTTCGATCTGTGGTTTATCATTCACGGACATTAATGAGATCCTTCTATTTAACTTATGTCAGTATAGCAGGAACATAATATGAACATCGCAAGTATCTCGAAAGAGATTTCAGATGCAATAAGATTTTCAGGGATGAAATTTTAACATAATATTTTTCTACATCGCATAAAACAAAGTGTTCCAGCAAAACAAAGCTGAAAGAAGACACTATGGCAGTGATTTTGACAAGGAAAACCGAACCAAAAGGGCGAATCTGAGACATGTTCGAGCAGCTAAAAAAAGATTACAAACCTGCATCAGATGCCAGATAAATAGCAGCCATGGCAATGTCCCATTTCTCCCCGAGCTTAAAGAGCGGCATTTGCTCTCTACTGCTCAGAACATCACCAGGCGCGAGTTTGCTCACTCCTGGCGTGTCATCAATAGGTCCCGGTGCAATCCCATTGACTCTTATATCGTAATCCGTCCCCCATTCCAGTGCCAAGCTTCTTGTAATGCTGTCGACAGCCGCCTGTGAAGAGCTCAATCAGTAAGCAAATCCAATACAATTTGAGTCAGAACTTCACGAATAACGAGAAATTGTACCGAATCGAACACAGACAAACCTTTGCAGCAGATACATGGATCTGGTACCAAGTCGCCGTGTAGTGCAAGGTCGCGCTGATATTTATGATCGTGCCCCCGCAAGACGGCTCCTTTCCGGGACCGCCTTTCTTGAGATACTTGAGCGCTTCATGGCACACCGTGAAAGTGCCGACCGAGTCTATGTCAATAACTGCAGAAACCAATCATAGGGAAAACAGATCATCTAATCTAATTCAATAATTCCCACCTTATAAATCTCAATCCTCGTCTGCACAACCACTGGAAAACATAGCATAGCAATAGACTAGCATAATCACAAAAAGAAAGAGGAAAAGAATAGAAACTTTGACCAAATCCCATTCTGATTCACTTTCACTACATGGTTATTGGCAACAACCGGGACAAGAGTAAGAACAAGACCTGTACGAAACCCGTTCGGAGACAAATCCTCGGCTGGGACTAGGAAATTGCCAGCCGCAGCATTCACCAGAATGTCGAGCCTCCCAAAGCTCTTGATGGTCGATTCCAGAGCTCTAACGACGTCGTCTCGCTTGCGAACATCTCCTTCCACTCCGATTGCCTGCAGCAACAGGGACGACACCACACCGGAGATTCGATCACCAAGCAGCAAAAGAAAGAAAAGTGTTTGAATTGTTTGAACAAAGAGAGGCGAAAATTTTACTTACGGGAATGCCGTGGTGGTGGAGAGAAGCGACGGCGGAGTCGAGGACGTGCTTGCGGCGGCCCATGATGGCGACGGAAGCTCCATGTAAGCCCAGCTGGCGCGATATCTCGAGCCCGATGCCCGACCCGCCTCCTGTCAGCAGCGCCACTTTGCCCTTCAGCACGTCCGGCTTGAACGGAGACTCCATATGGAACAACCCTTTTCTACTATTACGCTCACGCTCGGAGAAGAAGATAAATAGGAAAGAAAGAAGAACGATTCCAGGAGGAAGTTGGTGTTTGTCCGTTGCCGGATCCGGCAAGAAACGTGGTTTGGCCGAGAAAATCTGGATGCGTCGATTCTCGTTTTTACTACAGGACAAGACAGGATTGGAGAGACGTCCGGCCGTCCTGTTTGTTGACTTTCCCACTTGTTTGGCTCCAAAATCTAAGATGGTATATGCTGTTCCGGTCAATTCGGAAGCTGTCTAGATTGTCCTGTTCGAGGAGCGGTTCCTGAATCGGTTTCCAGGCAACCCGGTTCAATTTCGGAACCCATCTCCATCCCGAAAAGATCATTTCCGAATCGGTTTTCCTACTTTTGAAAAGGGTCGAAAGGGATCCTTCTGGCATAAATGTCCGCGCGGAATTTATCGAAAACATTCTTATAACCAAGAATAGGTAAGCGTAGGCACGCCAAAAAATCGATTCCGAGCCGACCGGCTTCCCTTCTTCATTCTTAGATTCCATTCGTATTCATGCTCCATCTGAAATTCTAAATGCGTTCTCTTTCTTCCGACAGAGATTTGGAAGGATGACCTCTCACTTTGTTAGGCAGATCAAACTGCTGAATTCAATTCGTGACCGCGCTGCTACAGTCACCAACCACCAAAGTGGACTTTAAGTTGCATCCAGCAACGAGTGGGATGCCGCCATCCACCAAATATTTGGGAGCCTATTCCTGACTTTCTCATTCCTAGTCTTTGCAAGAGACGAATCAGCAGCAGCCACGTACATTGACTAAAAGTAGGAAAAGTTTACTTTAATCAGATTAGCCAGGCAAAAGGCTATTTTCCCATGTTACTCTTTATATTCTTCTCCTTGAGCTTCCATTTTCACGTGTAGTTTTGGAAAAAAAAAAAACTGATAAATTATAATACGAATACACACAGTTGATTTCGTACGGCTTTAGATAATTTTGGTAAGAATACTATAGTTTAATCTTTAGATGTATTATGTGCGAAATATTTCATTTCACGAGAGTTAATACCACAAAAAACCCCAAACTAATACGCATGTGACCAATATACCCCAAACTGGTACACCTGTAACAAATTTACTCTCTATTAGTTTCCGTTAAATTTTACGGTCAAATTGCTGAGTTGACGACACGTGGCAGTTGACGGGTTTGGGGTTTTACCCTCCATTTGTCACAGATTTACCGGTTTGTGATTTTTCGTGGTATTAATCTAATTTAACGGAAACTAATAGAAGCTAAATTTGTCATAAATGTACAAGTTTGAGATTTTTTATGATAAAAAAATTAGTTTGGGGTGTACCAGTTTGAGATTTTTTATGATCAAAAAATTAGTTCGAGATAAATTTATCATATATGTATCAATTTTAGATTTTTCGTGGTATTAACCATTTTTACGATGATCCGGGATAAAATCCAGGCTCTAGTGGATATAGGTCGTACTTTTTTTTGTTTTCTATCAACCACCATGGATCTAATCTTGACATATAAGCAAAAGGCCATCTTCGTAAAGTAGGGAGAATTGTGCTCCCACAAATTCGGTGATTGAACTTCAGCGACACAAATTATTAACCTAGCACATGTTCCTTTTTGGGAATTATAGGTAATAATTATTACTTTTCGACAGAAAAAAAAAAGAGGAGAGCTGGTGGGTCAACATATGTTGTGCATTAATGGAAAGCATGGACATCTGAAATTGATTAAAAAGAAGAACTTATTTAGCTGTTGAAATGGTTTCACTTCAATCAGAAGAAGTAGCTCTGTTATGTAGCATGTCTACCGCACGAGATCGATATAGTTCTTGACACGGAGGGTAACATTGTTTTCGGGAAAAGCCCGCGTAACACTACTCATGTCGACCATCTACTTCGTACAAGGAAAATTATCCAAAAAGTCATAAACATATTGTACGGATATCAATTCAGTCATATATCTTTGTGCCAATTCAGTCACAAACCTTTTGACGATTTGACAATCCAGTCCTAAACCGTTCAATCGTGCCAATTTAGTCTTCAACATTTTGATGATTTGACAATTTAGTCATAAACCTCTTGACAATTTGCTAACGCAGTTCTTCCTGCCAAATATCGAAATGATTGGTTTAGGAATTAAATTGACAAATTTTCAAAAGGTTTATGATTAAATCGATCTGATTGTCGAAAGCGAGAATTGAATTAGCGCGATTGAAAGGTTGAAGACTAAATTGATTGCTATACAATAGATTTAAGACTTTCTGGACAATTATTCGTATCGGATCCGATTGTCTGAGAGGTTGGGTTTATCTACAGTGACAACCAAACAGTAGGATGGAGATTGTGTGGGGAGAGGGGTCGCAACGACAACCATCACTCGATCCGACATCGACCTTTCATGTCACCCCAAAAGTCGCTGAAAAGTGGAACCAAAGAAGAGGCGCAGCTGCACCGCACGTATGACGAAGACTCCCCCGTCGCGGGAACGTCCCCTGTTCGTCGTGGTAGGGATATATCAAAGTGCTTAAGCCAAAAAAGTTCATCCGTTCCAACACCATGGGAGCCCTAGAAATCAGACAATGAGCACGTGCACGCGGGTTGCACGGTCATAACCATAAGCCCGGTCGACTATTTTTCACGTGCGGTTGACTTTCGGATGGAAATTTTGGGGCACAGGATCTTAAATTTTGGTGTGGGATTAAGATAGCTTTGTGCAACCTGTGCTTGCTGCTTGGGATATTTGTAAACCTTTGATCTTTACCTCATTCGAGATGAAATTGAACGCAGGTAGCAGCACCTCATTTACCTAGTTATCGACTAGGGCTTGCTTTTTATTATATCATTTTCGGATAAAAAAATGAATTCCGCTTTCGATCAAATTCGCTAAGTTAGATAAATAATTAGAAAGCATAATCAAGAAAAGAAGTGATATTCACAGTTGATAGGTCTAATAGATAGCTGAAGTCCGGGAAAATTATTTAAAAAGTCATAAGCCTATTGCACTTTTGCCAATTCAGTCCTAAACCTTGTTATTGTGCTGATTGAGTCTTAAGCATTTTCATGTTTTGCCAATTCAGTTCATCCGGCCAATTTTGGTCAGAAATTGCTGACGTGGATGCCGGCGATCTTGCGTGACAAGGCCGGCACTGACATTGATAATTTTTAATAATATTTTTTTCAAATTTTTTTATTAATTTTTTTCTTTTTTCTTTTCTTCTCTTTTCCTTCCTTCTTCTTTTTTTTTCCCGATGTGGTTGGCGAGGGTCGCCAGAGCTTGCCGGCAACTGGGCAAGCCCATGCCCACCTTTGCCACGGCGGCTGCACGGGCTTCGGCCGGACCATGGGTGAGAGAGGACGCTCATTCCACCCCTCTGTTTGTCAATTTCATGGGTATCTTGCATGCTATCTTGATTTTTGCGGCTTGAACTCGCCTTTCGTTCTTGAAATTGGATCGTGACAGTGAGGATTAAGGCACACAAGCTAAGGAAGAAGTGCAAGGGTCGACCTACTGAACCAGTTAAAGGACCTCGAGGCCGAGCTCGCCCTCCTCCACGTTGCCAGGACCCTTCGCGAGGTGCGACCGAGGGCGAAGCTGCCTCGCCAGGCCGCGCCTTCGCCCGCAATTGGTGAGGCCATGGCGAGGTTGGCCTCGCTTAGTGGCGAGCTTCGGCAACCCTCACTGGTCAAAGTGGGAAAAAACAAAAGAAAAGAAGGAAGGAAGGAAAAGAGAAGAAACGAAAAAGAAAATAAATAAATTCAATTTTTTTTAAATAAGATTAAAAATTGTTCACGTCAACGCTACCCGTGCCGCGTAGAACGGCTGGCGTCCACGTCAGCGATTTCTTGCCAAAATTTATCAGATGGATTTAATTGGCAAAATCACGGAATGTTTAGAACTGAATTGGCAAAAAAATGCAATGAGCTTAAGACTTTTTGGGTAATCTTTCCGTTGAAAGTCATGTTGGAAATCAATAAACCTATTGAGTGGTAATCTCCTTTATCGCCTCCAATTACGTGCTCATCATACAAGGAAGTCACTATAACGACATTTGCAATATTTCTTTCTTCATAGTACTTTCTAAGCGCCCTCGGAGCACTCTTTACCCCAAAAAACCAAAGTGAGTTGGGGCGGCGGCGGGCACTCGCTATTGCTTGTCAAACTTGTTTTACAAATGGCACGTAATTGCTATCTGTCTGAAGCAGAGTAAGTATTTTAGAAACGCGCTCTTCTCCAATTTCCAAAATGTCGCCGTAAGAATAATTTAAATATTTTTGGAGACTTAATAAGGCCCTCATGGAACTCATGGTGACAAAAACCCTATAATCAAGCCAACACTTCTTTTGATCTCGCACCCAATTGAATGACATAAAGTTCTGACTAGAACTCGAAAGGTTATAATATGACCCTCGCAAGTGATATGAAAGTTTGTAAAGCGGTGGAAGCACGCGTGTGATAGAATATGGATATTTTCATTAGGTGATTGCTAAGCGATTATTAAATACATATGCGCACGTCTCAAAATATTCCCCTAAATTGCGCATTCTATAGTTCTTCTTCTTTTTGTTTTTTTTCTTCCAGAGGTCGCACACACGATATGAATCCTTGATCGAAATATATAGAGGGGATTTCTTTCAAAGTTTTTGGAAGAGAAAGGGAAAAAAAATGTCTCATATTTTTAATTGGTGAAAACATCTCATATGCTGATATTTGACATTCACTTAATTAGGCACATTCCAAATAGGACTTCTTTACCTTGGTTTTTCTTTTCTTTATCTTCGTTTGGCTTTGTGCGGCTGCAAGAAAATTGACTGGTTTTGATTTTCTTGGGGTGGGGAAGAGAAAACAGACGAAAATTCAAAATCAAGCACTAATTGTTTCCATCACTGAAGCGACGTATTACTCGGAAAAAAAAGCAGGAAAAGTAACAGTATATCACCTTCCCCAGATGGTGATGATGACGATGACAGCAACCCCCCAGTGAATTCCACAGCTAATAGCAACAAAAAGGTGTATGCATTGTTTATAATTCATACATATTTAGATAAACCATAATCTTTTCATTATTATATTAAGGTTGCACATATATCTAACAGTGTGTCACCAAGACTAAGGAAGCTGTTCCTGGGGGAGAATGATAAAGAAACAATATATCTCTCTTCTTCTGCACTTCTCTCTGTCTCTGTGTCTCTCTCTCTCTCCAGCTTCTTCGTCTGCCTGATTCAGTGTTTGTCTGCCAAGTTGTGCCAACTCTTTCTGGGGAAAAATTCTTTTTACGGGTTTTTTTGCAAGTGAAGGGTCGGAGCTTGCTTTCGCTGTCTGTCTGTCTTTTCTTGATTTTTTTTTTCTCTTTCCTGGAAGCCGAGTCTCTCTTTGGGTATGTTTGAAATGTCGTGAAGTTGGTTCGTTTTTTTCTTTTTTGGATCCAGTGACTGAGGTCCAGCCCCCGGTCGAGCCGACGGCCTGGTAGTTCTGTTTGATACCAAGGAGCAATCTCTGTTTCAGATCTTTTTCTTGCCGTTCTTGGTTTATTATTTCGGGGTTTGAGGTTCTGCATGCCCGCTTTATCTGTTCTTGATCAGTCTGTTTGGCCCTTTTGAGCTTGCTCCTATCTTGGTTTCTTTGGTGGGTCTCCGATATAACTTGAATCTTCCACTTTTATTAGCTCTCCAATTGTTCACACGGGGTGTCCTGCTATTTTCTAAATTAGATGTGGAACTGGTGCACAGTTCAAGCCAAGGTTACCACATTGCGTGTTGTGATTCAGCCTCTTGATTTCTGGGTCAATTTTTCTGGGTGAATTTGCGTGCATTTGCTGATTCATTTCTAGCATTGAACTCAAGTGATTAATCGAGCTTCTAGAGTTCCAGCTGGCCTGGATTTTAATTTTAGATACTTGGGTTTGGTCGGTTGCTATCAATTGTCCGTGTATTTGAAGAAGTGATTGGAGTGGAAAGAGGCAAAATTCATTGTATGAAATCGGTGTCAGACATGAGTTCAGGAGCTGAAATTGATGAAGAGAGTGACAACAAGGGAAGTATGTGGGTTTTGGATCAGAAGCTTGATCAGCCCATGGATGAGGAGGCTGGTAGGCTGAGCAACATGTATAGAGAGAAGGTATTGATTCTCACTTCTTCTTTTTTCTATCTCGCATAAGCCGAGTTTGAGCATTCAATACTTCTTTATGAGGCAGTGATTTCCTTCCGGTAAAGTTTAAGTTACTGCAACTTCATTTAAGGTTTCAGATCATGAACTTTGTGTCCTCTGTTCAATTTGTTTTGGGTCTATGTCGATATTTGCAACGTGTTGTAGCTCTAGTACTTTGTAATTGCGCTTTTACATTACATACGGTAGGTACTACTAATGACCTGGTATATTTGGTGACCTGAAAAAGGTTAGGGGCTGATAATCATTCAAATCTAATTGTGTGGTCAATACTTTCTACTTTTTTCAGAAATTTTCTGCTCTGTTGCTTCTTCGGCTTTCATTCCAGAGTCTTGGGGTTGTTTATGGAGACTTGGGCACATCTCCTTTGTACGTCTTCTATAATACATTCCCGCAGGGAGTTAAGGATCCGGAGGATGTTATTGGAGCTCTTTCTCTAATTATATACTCTCTGACGCTTATCCCACTTCTCAAATATGTATTTATTGTCTGTAGAGCTAATGACAATGGTCAAGGTAAACTTATCTCCCTTCTGTACTTACCCCTTCAATTTTTTTTCTTATGTAACTTTTTGGGATCTCTCATATGCATAAAATGTTAATCTACACATTACATTGATGAAAGCGTCTCAGTCCATAAATCAGTAACTTTTTTATTTTATTTGCATAATCAAATTCTTCTAGCAACATTGAGAGTCTCAGCCAAAATTTTCATGTTGACCTTCACCAGCCAAAACTGTAAATGCCTGTGCTTGTGATGTAGGTTTTACTCATAGGATTTGTCAAGCGTAACTTTCGTCCTAATGGCATAGGTGGAACATTTGCTCTTTACTCCTTGCTTTGTCGACATGCGAAAATAAAAACTATTCCCAACCAACATCGAACTGATGAGGAGCTGACGACTTACAGTCGGTCCACATTCCATGAACAGTCATTTGCGGCAAAGACCAAGAAGTGGTTGGAAAGACGTCCTTCAAGGAAAAATGCGCTACTTATTCTCGTCCTTGTCGGCACATGCATGGTGATTGGGGATGGAATTCTTACTCCAGCTATATCAGGTACCAGTTACTCATATCTTTATTTAGATGTCAGCTATACATTGTGCATTTGATTTTCATACTTAATAAATGTCTCTTCCCGTCAATGTCGGTTATCGACCAAATCATTAGGAGTAGCATATTATGTTTGTTTAGTCAATAGCAACGATAATAGGTGACCCCTGGATGAGAAACTGATGTGCATGTTGTTTGGTTTTGCGGCATAACAAGAAGTTGTGACCTGAAGAGTCAGTGCAGCAACTAGATTCTTGTATGAAGCCTTTTAGGTTGTAGCTTTCACGTTTTATTTTGCAAGAACATTTCAAATGGAGTTAATTAATCTAAGAGATCTGTAAAATCCTCAGAATCTGTAGAATACCAATGTCAATCTTTCTTGATGATGCACTGTCCATGCTCAGTCCATCAAAATTGTCAATCAGGTAACTGTTGTTGTCATACGCAAATCTTTGGTGGAGATTTGAGTAGTGATGCTCTATGTGAGTGACTGAAATCCCATATGCTCTTTCAAGCGAAAAACGAAATCAATCTGGATGCTTAAATTCTCACGCTTTTGATGAGATGACCTTCAAATGGAGGAAGCTGCAAATTGCTTGCTAAGGGATGGCCAGATGGGACAGTTGTCACTAAGCATCTTCCATCTTTAATTTCTTTTTTCCCTGCCTGAGATGTGTCATAGATGCTTTTGTTTTTCCATAAACAACTTTTTTTGGTAAGCAGCAATGTTTTCAGGCATCATTTGTTTTCTCTTTATCTTCTTTTATTTGCTTGAGATATTTCTAACAATGCAATATGGAATAGTTCTTTCTGCGGCTGGAGGAATCAAGGTAAACCATCCCGATGTTAGCAGCAGTGAGTATTTCCCCGAGAATCTAACCTTTTTGACAGATAAGAACCTCAATTATTTCTACGTACTCACTGAGTTCTTTTCCTCTGGTGCAGAAGTAGTTGTGGTTGTCGCTGTGGTAGTGTTAGTAGGTTTGTTTAGCATGCAACACTATGGAACGGATAGAGTTAGTTGGCTCTTCGCACCCATTGTGCTTCTTTGGTTCCTCTTAATTGGAGGAATCGGTCTCTATAACATTTGGAAATATGATAAGGGTGTTCTTCGGGCCTTTTCTCCTGTTTACACATATCGATACCTCAAACGCGGAGGAAAAGATGGTTGGACCTCACTCGGAGGCATCATGCTCTGTATCACAGGTTGGATTCACCCCTTTCTCAATAAAAAGCTTTTAGTGGAATCGTGCTAATCCCTTTTGTAATTATCGTTGCAGGGACTGAGGCCCTTTTTGCTGATCTTGGCCATTTTCCAGTTTTGGCCGTGCAGATTGCTTTTACAATAGTTGTCTTTCCTTCCCTTCTTTTAGCCTATTCTGGGCAAGCGGCCTATCTAATGATGAACAAGGATCATGTGGTTGATGCATTTTATCGATCTATCCCAGGTACTTCTTCAGTTTTAGCAGGGGATGGCTGATCAAACACCAGTTGAGCTATTTGCTGATTTAACATGATTATCTTATCAAAATTTTCTCTGGCTTAAGAATGTCGGGCAAAAGAGGACTGTCAGTCAGAGAGTCCTCCTTTTGGGTGCCTCTGTTCCGCGTCAACTAAAGCTTAATTTGATAGCTGGTCAAAAATGATTTAATTGCACTATCTTGCTACCAAGGTACTTATGCATAATCTCTACGGATTTATCAGCAATTAAGAAATGACACCTCTGAACAAGGATAATGCTGGTCCCATCAGTATCGGTAGCGTATTTTGTATTAGCAATCGAGATTACTACATCGGAGGATGGGGAAAAATTAAAGATTAAACAAAAAGTTGCACATGATTCTTTGATTTAATTTCTCTCCTCTCAAATGTGTGTACTTACTAAGGTGTTACTTTTTTACTATTGTTTGAACCACTGGCTGCGGAGGAAAAGTTATACATAAATGGCCTTAAGCACCACATAGGAGTTGGTTAGTGTGTCTTCCACATAATTCAGTTCCTGAACTGAACTGATAGCTTTCTTTCTATTGATATTTTTTCAAGTGGACCTTTTTTTTTTTCTAACAAGGAAGTTGTGACAATTGCATGAACAGTGGAGGCATTTTCTGTAGGTTAAGATACAAAAACATTTACTTAGCTAATTCCCCGAAGCATAGAAATGAGACACAAGGCATGGAAATGTGCATATCCGCAAAAGTCATTTTTCTACACATTTATGGCCGACTGAAAGAGAATTTTTGTAACGTTTGGATCATGTTGCAGCTGTAATGCCTAAGGTCCTTTTTGTTTGTGGATTGTTAAAATCACGTTCTAGTGGAAGCTTACCGGTCTACAAAACTGCACTCCACTTTTATGCATCTAGAGAGTTTATGTATTGTTTGGATCACGTTGCAGCTGTAATACCTAAGGTCCTCTTTGTTTGTGTATTGTTTAAATCACGTTCGAGTGGAAGCTTATCAGTCAACAAAACTGCACTCCTCTTTTATGCATCTCAAGATTTTCAGAATTTCTTTTCCTTGGCAAATAGTATATTTTTTCATGTGAAGAATTTGCACTTGCAAATATTCTTATTTATAATATATTCTAGGGAAGCAAAACTATCCCCATGTAGGTTGATTACTTCTTATCTTGCAGATAGCATATACTGGCCAGTATTCATTATCGCAACTTTAGCTGCTATAGTTGCCAGCCAGGCCACGATTTCTGCTACGTTTTCGATAATCAAGCAGGCACTCGCACTTGGCTGCTTTCCTAGGGTCAAAGTCATACATACATCAAAGAATTTTCTCGGACAGATATACATTCCTGATATAAACTGGATTTTGATGATCCTCTGCATCGCCGTCACTGCTGGCTTTGAAAACCAAAGTCAAATTGGGAATGCATATGGTAAGTCTTACCCTCAACCAGATAGTTTCTTTTGTGAAATACCCAGATGTGTTATTGATCTGCATAACAAAACCTCAATTATCTCCTATTTAGGTGTTTTGTCCTGTAGAATTTAATAATGCTGCCCCGGAAGTAAACCAGAAAGAGAGAGCTAGGAGCATCGTCTGGGTATAAGATAGTCGAGTCAGTCATGTAACTGGAAGAGAAGACTGGTCACCCTTTCAAGTGTTCCTTAGCATGCTAAAGCTATAAATTGGGCCCGCAAGCTACTGAAAAACGATATCCGGAGCCTGGTCTCATAGCCCATTTCTGTCCCATCCTTATTATTAACTCTAACCTTGCTTGGGTGTATGGCAGTAGTGATGGTCAAGTGATCCTAGTGCAGCAATTTCCGTGGGAGGAACTCCGTGACTCTCTTTGAATTTAATGTTATAGATATTAATTGCCTGTATCAACCTTGTATCTCCTAATTTCTATTTCACATTCCATGACAGGGACAGCCGTTGTAATAGTTATGCTGGCAACCACGGCCCTCATGGTTCTGATTATGATTTTAGTGTGGCACTGCCATTGGCTTCTTGTCCTACTTTTTGCTGGCCTGTCACTAATAGTGGAGTGTACTTACTTCTCTGCCATGCTCTTCAAAGTAGATCAGGGCGGGTGGGTTCCACTAGTTATTGCGGCAGCATTTCTTCTGATCATGTATGTTTGGCACTACGGCACGGTGAAGCGATATGAATTCGAGATGCATAGTCGGGTTTCGATGGCCTGGATTCTTGGGCTGGGCCCCAGCTTAGGACTGGTCCGAGTCCCAGGCATTGGGCTTGTATACACAGAACTGGCTAGTGGGGTGCCTCGCATCTTTTCCCACTTCATCACTAACCTTCCGGCCATGCATTCTGTTGTTGTTTTTGTCTGTGTTAAGTATCTCCCAGTGTACATGGTTCCTGAAGAAGAGAGGTTCCTCGTGAAGCGGATCGGACCCAAGAATTTTCACATGTTCCGCTGCGTTGCGAGGTACGGATACAAAGACCTTCATAAGAAAGATGATGATTTTGAGAGGAAGCTCTTTGATAATCTTTTTCTCTTCGTTCGGCTTGAGTCCATGATGGAAGGGTGTTCGGACTCGGATGATTATAGCATATATGGTCAGCAAACTGAGAAATCAGGAGATGCCCTTTTGTCTAAGAACGGCAAAGCTACTATTTCTGATGTGGACCTCACGATCTCATCAATGGACTCCACTATGCCAGCAAAATCTACATCGTCACGTCCGAATAGTATGACGATATCGTCCGGACAGGCGGGCAACCGAACTGAAATGGATGAATTGGAGTTTTTGAATAGGTGTAGAGATGCAGGGGTGGTGCACATATTGGGCAATACAGTTGTGAGGGCGAGCAGGGAATCAAGATTCTACAAGAAGATTGTTGTTGATTATATATATGCATTCCTCAGGAAGATATGCAGGGAACATAGTGCCATTTTTAATATTCCTCATGAGAGTCTCTTGAATGTTGGCCAGATATTTTATGTATGATAATTCTTTTGCAATGTGATGGGTAAATAACACTCTCAGCACCAACCCTTCATGTGACAAGCATTTCGAACATAGGCATTTCGAAAATCCTTGAGAACTCAAGAATTCAATAAGATAAATCCATGTTGTTTGGACCAATTACCCTCAGTTTCATTAGATATGCTCAACTGTATAATGATTTTTCACAGTCAAGGGCTCACCAAACGATATAATTTGCCATCCAGAGTTAGGTCACACAGATCACAAGTTTGCCTCACTGTATGATAAAACTCACATCAATTTGTCTAATGCAATTGAAGATTACATCCATCACAGCTTCTCGAAAGACTTTCTTGAGTTGGGTGGGTCACAGACGTGCAAAACAAAAACTCATGAATGCATTTTGGAAATGCATTCTCCATGTTGATTTGCAATGGAAGTGATACATCACAGTTGTAGTAACATGGACCGCGACCGAGAGGGGTAAAAGCAAAATCGGTATAATTTTATTGGCAACTGTACTTACTATAAACACAAATAATAGTTGTACAGAGAATGGTTTCTCCAACGTCTAATTACACATTCACACCATGCACACATCTTTAATACCTAACAGTCTGGCATTTTGAACAAGGGCAATCTCTGCTTCCCGTACAATACACACTTTTCTGTAGGGTTCCCCCCCCACTATAAACAGCTCGTGGCATTACAAATGGTGATTAATAATGTAACAAAAAAGAAAAAAAGGCCGAGTTTTCAATCTTCGAGATCCATCACCTGGAGACCTGGTTTGTAGGTGGTTTGGCTTGGGATGCTGTGGACAGAACACGCAGGCGTCGGGCGATTTCTGTGAAGGACGGACGGGCCACGGGATCTGGGGCCCAACACTGCTCCATAAGCAATTTCCATTCGGGATCGCAAGAGTGTGGCACTGGGGGCCTCAGCGTGTTATTTACTATTCCGCCTGCAAATACCACAGAGCTCATCAAACTACAAAATATGATGTCATATTGGTTTCTCAATGTCTCGTCCCGAAGAATTAAGCATTCTCCGCAACAAAAGCCTACAGAAAGTGAAAATTATATATGATGGGAATCTCCTACACCAACATAAAGTTACACACTGTACCACCACTCTCAACCCATGCAAGGCACTCCTAAATCAACTTAGCAGTGATCTTCAGAGCTAAGCCAATATACGTTGGCCAGTACACTATCTATAAAAATCATATGCAAGACACACATATTCCACTTCCACACACCTATAATGGCTCCATAATGCATGTTGGCATAAGGCTCCTCGCCAGTGAGAATCTCCCAAAGGACAATGCCAAAGGAGAAGACATCAACCTGTCCATGATAAAAGAACAAAAAAAACAAAGAAAGATAAACATCAGGAACAAGAGTGGCTTGTCTCTGCCGTGAGACTTCTAAAGCAAATAAACAGTAGGAAACTTATTCAAGTTCATTCGACACAGAAGGTCTGATGCAGCCAACAAAATCGTGCAAGATGATATTTGTTGAAACATTGACATTTCTACCAAGTTTTGGTGAAGATGGACTTTACAACTCAAATAAGAGTCCTAAAAGGATCAAGATTCGTTTTCAAATTTAATATGTGAAGTTGTCGACTAGGATTTGAGCATTATAGGATTTTAACAAGTTTCGTTTTTCTTAGTTAAAGTAGGATATTATGTTTCATATTCAAGAAGTTTCTTGTTTAGAGGTTTCCTGTTTCAACTAGAAGTAGAACTTTTAGAGAGTCTATATCTAGGATTGTAATTCTTTTATTCTACAATAGAGTTGATGAATTATTGCATTTTGTAAGTATTTGCTTTGGGATTGGATGATGCAATTCTTCTCATTGGTGTGATGCTTAAGAAAACTAGGTGTGATGCTTAGGAAGCCTTCGGTGTGAAGCCTAAAGATGTATCCACTACTGTGGAACTAGTCATCCTACATCAAGGTCCTCGTAACCATACATAGTGAAAGCACAGTACGCGTAGCCCAGATATTCTTTTTATTAGGTGAAGTAGACAATTTGCTGGACAAAGTCAGATTGATGAACTACGGAAAAATTTGCACCCATACCTTCTCAGAGACCTTGTTGCTGCTACCGTTTAACAACTCAGGTGCCATCCATGGCAGGGTTCCCCGGACGCCACCAGTAACCAAGGTATTCCTTTTGATTTTTGACAAGCCAAAATCACCAACCTGCACAAGTTGAGGCAAATGACTGATATAAGCCTCTTTCCTCAAACTAAAAGAACCTTGTGAATTTTGAGCTTAACTTATTCAATCACCTTGCAAATGGGACGCGCTGAATCTTTCAGGTTGACAAGCAGGTTATCGCATTTGAGATCAAAATGCACAATATTCTTTGAGTGCAAATATTCCATTCCAAACGCTGCATCCATAGCAATGATAATCCTCTTGCGACGATCAAGATGCCTGCATTGACAAAACATTGAGAAGAATGGTAAAGAACAATATCTCCCTCTGATTAGTGCGATGGTGCAGAAAACCTTATCAATTTTTATGTGGATTACCTGTCCTTACAAAGCAAAACATGTCTTAGAGAACCATTAACCATGTATTCCGTCACTGTAGCCAGTGTTCCTCCTGGACCATCCTGAACAACGCCGTAAAACGCCACCACATTGGGATGATGAAGCTTTGAGAGAATGTCAGCTTCCCTCCAGAACTCCACTGTCTGGAAAAATAATAAGACATCACTATTTTGTATCTACAAATGCAAACAAGATGTCCCGTTCTCCGCTATTAAGACAGACAAGAAATGTACCCATTAAGAAATTAATAGTATTCGACCAAAAATAAAGATAAAGAACAGACTAGTAAGCAAGAGACTGCTCACCAATCTCTCCTGCTCTGATGAACGACCTGTGAAACAGCTTTTTTTTATGCGCTTTATCGCAACATCCGTTCCACGCCATTTTCCATGGTAGACAGTCCCAAATGTACCAGAACCCAATTCTTTCAGTTCTTCCAGATCTTCGTTCTTAATAATCTGATACACCGTGAAATAAGAATATCAATAAACATTGACAAACGCTAGGGTTTTCTTTCTGTTTGAAGAAAGAAAATGTTCTCGGATAGCAAAAATTGTTAATCATTCACAGACTTTTGTCTCTGACCATCTATCAAATTAGTGATGCTCACACAGGAATATGCATTATAGATGTCTAAACTGCCAGTTATTAATTTGCTTAACAATAATGATGTGCTGTTGCACTAATATAACAGACTATACCATAGTGTTGCTAATAAAATAAACTAGAAAACTGAAATGGGATAGATTACATCGGCACCAGAACTGAATTTAATGTCTACTCAATTCCTAGTCATCTCATTGAACTTCAAGATATGTGGATACTCTATTCCAGCACCTAAATACTTCCCCACCAGCATTCAACTTTCACGCCTTCAGGAACATATCCATTTGTGTGGAGAAGAAAAAATAAACTGATCCTTCAAAAGATGAACGTTCACAATAGCAAGAAAAGGTTAGCCTGGCTTGCATGTAAAACAGCCAGTTTCCTAGCACAGTATTCTGCAGAATTGGATTCTATCACGTTATCATAGCAGGATTAGCAAACAACATATCAAATAACAGATTAGCTTGCTTTAGAATAAATACAACAGATGAAACTGAACATTCATAATACTTCCGACTGAAATGAATTTTCAGAAAAAGCAATCTCTGTTTTCCCTTTAATTACAAAAGCAGCCATAGTTTCATATCCTCTGGCCAAAAAAAAAAAAAACCGTAATCACGGTCTGAACTGCAAAGATGTCTCTCGGCAAAAAGACCAGAAGTAAAATCAATCAAGGAGGTGTTTTTTAGTTCATCCAATCAGTTCAACCGATGAAAATTCGTTTGAACTGTGGGTTCAGTTTTTAAGACATCATCAGATACTTACATATCTATATTTTTAGAATATCAGGCAGCTGAAACAAAAGTTTATACAGCACGTCGCGTGAGGCAAGCATGCTGAGCTCCCTCGTTTGACAAATCAGTTAGAGAGATCAGTTGTTTCCACAAAACAAATTAACTTGTGCTTATTTGATGAGGATGTGCTGTGTAAGAGGTAAAGATCCCCTCAACTTCCCAAGAACGCAGGAGTTGAATCCCTGCTCCATCGCGTGTGCCATTCTTTCCCCTTTCCTTTGTCTTTTGCCATAAATAGGTAATTTCTCTACCTTAACATTTCAAGCCGGGATCCGATTGAACTGGCTTAATTATATATACTTCTATCAAACTCTAGACAGACTCATCTTATATAACAAAAGCAAACCTGTAGGTCTATGTTAGCGTGATTCCAAAGGTAACTGGTTAAGTGTTGACTTTGGAAACACAACTACAGACCAAGTAAAGGATGAAAAAAATCCACTAATGCGCGAGCCCTACAGAGGAAGAAGTTGTTCTTCTTTGATCTTCCCGATAACTTATTCTACTTCACAAAGATTCTATAGAGGGCAGATTTGGAATTTGGATATTACTTCTATCAATCATCCAGTCAATTATTATGATTGGCTACGAGGAACTGACCAGATCGACTGGACCCAACCTGATGGAATCTAGTTGTGGACCTGCAAAGGTTAATTTAACAAAGAAACAGCAATACTGGAGCTAATTCCCAGTGCAACAGGTGGAACCAGTAAGTCCAACTTGAGAAAAATTCCCTAAGCTATTTTATAAGAGAACCATTACCGTTAAACCATAAGTGGAGAAATGAGATATTTCCCGCACTGCGTCTCATTGAAGAACGAAAGAAAAGCATCATACCTGCAGGCTACTGATATCCAAATCACCCAGAGAAAGATCGGCAATAGATTGAACAATATTAGGAGCTTCTGATTTTTCATCCTGAAAATTCACAAAAGAGTATCATAGCATGAAGGTAAGACATTCACAAGCTGCCCTCAGGTGGCTAAGTTCATGGATATTAAATTGTGTATACCTCATATTCCATTTCTGGTATTGTAGGGTGAACTACATCTAATATACTTTCAGTACCCTTGGGATGGGAAGTGCTGTAGTCTTGATGCACATCCCTCACACTTGGACTGATGATGCCAGATGACACTTGGGCAATATCCTCCTCATAGTTAAGCCTGGGCTCCATACAACCCACATGGACTTCATCAGCTTTTACAGGTGGATAGCTGTAGTCAATAGGAGCTCTACCTTCGATTTCTGCTAGCGGAGCCGAGAAGCCAAGGTGATCCTGGTCCATAAGAGAAACATCCTTCCTAACGAACTCGTCTTGAGCCAAGATTCGGAAGTAAGACCAATGCTTCGGCTCATGATTTTCCATGTTCAAACTCAATCCTGCTCCATCACAATGCAGAGGATTAACATCAGAGAGATTCTCAGAGCGCCTTGCCACTGAGAATAAATCAGACAGAAAATCTCGAGGAAAACGGTCATTAATATCAATTAATATGTCTCCATGCTCTGGGTTGCTAACGCTAACTGAAGGCTCAACAGTCTGCGCTAAAGGCGGTGCATGACCCGTTGTTTTTCCACTGGTCTTGCTTGGTGTTACTTCATCCCAGAGATATTCTGATGACCTCAAGGAAGAATTGTCAGCGTGCATACCAGGAGCTACTCGACCTGATGTTTGGTGGTGAGGACCAGCTGCATCTTTAGCCCCGACAATCATTTCCTTGTACTTCTCTTTATCCTGGGTCATTCCGTGGTCATCCGCAGAATTTAGAGGTCTTGATTCAGTTTTCCGGGGCACTGGTTCAAGCACCTCTTCAGCAATACGCCTGTCCAAAGTGAAATTGTCTGAAGAAGCAGATTCTACATGCCTTGGAAGTTGCTTAGCTCCATCATGGATGTTCTGTGGATTTTTATATGCTACTTTATCATATGAGACAAAGTGCTCAGTCTGAGAAGCCATGTCTCCATCATGCAGCTTCTCAGTTGTCTCTGGGGTTGACTGAGAGTAATCCGACCGCGCTTGAGTAATCAGAAACTGTGATCCAAAGGAATCATCGGATTTTGACAAACGGTTCAACTCTGCCTGCTCCCTTGGGATTCGTTCAGAATGAAATACTCGCTGCGGCATCGAAGGTGGCTCTACGTAGCCCAACTCTGTTGGATCAGCCTCAGATCCACCATTACCCATGAACGCACCACCTGATGCATAGAAGGGGTCATCCTCATGATTCTTCTTCCCGTCCCTCGCATCTTCTGGGTCCATAGAGCTCTGCACAGTTTCCTGAGGCCTCTTACCTACAGCCTTGGGCAAAGGACTCTTTAGCTCAGGGGCCAGTTTAGCACCAGACGCGTCTTCCCGGTGGGTGTAGCTTGTGACGGGGCCTTCATTCGATTTAGAAGAAAAAATGTTATCATTCTGAGTCTCGTCTATCTTCTGCATAGAGCCCTCTCTCTTCATTTTCAGCTCCTCAAATTTATTTTCCTTCTCTAGGGGCTGAACTTTATCAGGTCCATTTGTTTTCTTCGCTGAGCTGTCTCTTTTCAGTTTGATATCCCTTATAGGTGCTTCTATATCCTGTGCGCGCTGGCCACTGACTAAATGCTCTTCATTCAAAGCTCCCGTTGCTACTGGATTTACAGTGGGAGGAATCGCATTTACATTATCTACATGTGGCACGAAATTAGAAGTAGATCCTTGGCCATGTAAGAATTGGACAGATGAGGAAATAGTTCCCTTTCCCTCCAAATCCGAGAAACTCTCCGCATGGTGAGGAGCGGATAAAGCATGTTGGCTAGCTTCTCCATGATTAACTCTCTGTCGCTGGTAAGAGTGTAAATTAGACTCATAATTGCTAGCTGAGCTTGTTGGCACCACTTGAGAAGACTGAGCACTGGATGTAGGTGCATCTACTCTGAAAGGATCGGCCGTAGTCCCAGCTACTCTACTGTCTTCTCTTTCAAGATTCAGATTTACTAACTCATCCAAGTTATTGCCAGAGGCACTTCCTAGAGCAATTGAATTCCTTCTTGAACCTGAATCCATGCCATTCACCGCAACCACGTATTGGACCTCAGAATCCCGATCAATACTTCCGATGCCAAACTGAGCATCCTCTAGATCAGTATCGGAGAAAAGGAACATCCTGGGTTTCTGAGTCCCTCTATCCTCCAACACATTACATTCCTCCATCATGTTCTGAAGATCCTCGTCGCAAGATACAGAAACCAGCGCATCAAGTTCCTCACCTGGAAGTTGATACTTAATAGTGTGAGGTTGGTTATAAATTGCCAAAGTTTTCTGCGTGAGTTCCTGCCAAGTAATATCCTTGCTTATCCGAACAATACGAGTCTCGCCGCCGACATACCTAAGCTTTCCATCGCTCGGGCGGGGCAAAATTGTACCACCAAAGCTGCAGAGGAACTTCACTCGCGCGGATGTACAATCGCCAGATCCCGAAAGGGAACTATCAATGAGTCTACTGCTACTACCTCGCGAGGTGGATCTTGGTACGGACCGCAAGGACTCGTGGTAATTTCTCTCTTCATTAGCCAGAGAGCTCTTCCTTTCAAATTCGGGCACAAAGCCTTTTTCTACCGAATTGATCATGGAAATGTCTGATCCACTTTCTGAACCTGTATGAGAAATACCAAGGATGCCCTTTAGATCCATATAGCCCGATGTGCTGCTAGGATCCCTTTGAGCCGGTGGAATGAGCTGTTGCCTGGGGTTGAGCATAAATTCAAGTGCAAACTCCTCACCAGTCTGAATTGAATAGTTCAGAACCGGTCTGGCTACAGCAGACATGTTGTAATCTGGAGGTCGCATATTGGTGTTGATAGTACTCGATGGATCATGGAAGAAACTCTGGTTAGTAGAACCGAGCCCTGGATTTCGAGGATCGATATTAGGATATCGAAACTGCTCGTGGCCCTTCTGTTGGTTCATCGTCCCTCTCTCGAAATTTCTCTCCATTCAACTCAGCTTTACCCGGGGAGCATCCAAAGGCAGACTGCTGACATTCATCTCTATTAGCACACACAAAGAAGAATTTCAGATCCAGCTAACTGCCAATGGAATTTCACAAGGTACTGAAGCTTGCACTAAATCTTGAGATCAAATGGAGAAGAACCGTCTTAGTTTTTAGCTCGAAAAAAAAGAAGAAGACAAGATAAAGAAAATCAACTCGAGAAAAGCAAAGTGTTTACTAATCCCGTAAAGAACAAAGAGCTCCTCAAGTGGTTTATCGAACGAATCTTAAAATGAGGGTGCAACATGAACAAAACAGCTCCTACTCCAAAGGAAGTTGTAAAAGATAAGAACGGGCTTACATCCAAATATTCTATAATTGAAAATCACAAACTCATCCTCCGTAGCGTACATCTTCTATAATCGATTCGGGGAAGAGCCACAGGTGAGCCTTCAATTCCAATTATCATTTTCCAAGGCACGAGATCATGAAGTGTCAGATCAAACCAAAACAACAAGACACCCTATTCATCTAAAATCTTACTGACCAAGTTTCAAACAAGAACCATAACATCAAGCCAAAGATCGTGGATCCACGAATCATCTGACATGGGTCGAAACAAGAAATGACAACAACAATTCCAAACACAGGAAAAAAGGGGGAAAATCTCACGACTGATGCCCCACTAAAAGTCTCAGTTAAAAGTCCAAGCAGCTCATCACCCGACGTCGATCGCCACCAAACAAAAACGAACCGCAAACCGAAAACATCGACCCCGCGAGACGATCCTCCAAATCAAAGAGGATTTTGACTCGGACACCAACCCATCACAGCACACCCAACATCGAGAAACGAGCAATCGGGGGGCGGGGCGCGACAACTCCCCCCTAAGCCGGAGCTCTAGAGCCCTCAAAAATCCACACACGCCCAATTCGCAAGCAGGCCGCCCCACGACAACCCCGGAATCCCGCGACGCGCACACACGCACGCATGCACAAACTGGCCAAGACCCAGCAGCAGAGGCACACGCAGATCGAGCGCGGAGGAGCCGGAAAGATTCGAACTTGGTCAACGGGAGGGCGGCGGAAGAATCGGATCGAGGGGGAAAACCGAGATTTTTACCTGCCATCGCCCGGATTGATCCCGTCATCGGAGCTCCCGATTCGAGGAAGAGGGAAGGCGGTGGTGGTGGTGGTGGTGTTGTTTCAGTGAAGAGACTGGTAATGGAAGAAAATTCTCTCTTGGCAGTCTTCCTCTTCCGGAATTTCTCCCCCTTTTTTCTTTCTATTTTTTAAAAAAAAAATTTTTTTGAGCAGGCACTTTTTGATTTTTATCTGCCGCTGTTCGCGACAGGGTAGTGCTCCGTAATTTTTTCCCCCCTTTTTTATTTCTCGTTATTTATTTATTCATTAATTTGTGTTTTGAGTAGAGATAAATCGGTTTTTAACCGGGTTAATATAAATAAGAAAGAAATAGGTAATTGAAAGTTGCGTGTTTTTTGGGCGGCGCTGAAATCGGGATTTTATTTTTTTGGGGTTAGGGATATATATATTTTTTTTTTGCCGTAAAAAAAAGCCGGCGGTATTTAGGATTACTACTGGATTAGCAGGCTCTTCTGGATGGGGACGCGCTGACGTCGCGCGTGTCCAAAGGGGTGGGGGGGCCGTTGACCCGGGCTGGACCACTCGCGTCACGGGCCGGGCCGGGCCTGGACATGGATAGCAAGCTTGACAAAACAATACCCCGGATTACTTCGTGGGATAATAACATAAATGGTCCCTGAATTTTGCCCCTCAGTGTGCAATATGGTTCATGAACTTTTTAACTTGTTTAATATAATTCCTGAACTTTTGGTAAACGTTCAATCTAGTCCCTGAGATATTATATCCATGGATTCAATTTAGTCCATCTAAGGACTATATTGAACATGTACCAAAAGTTCATGGATCATATTGCATATTCGGTTAAAGTTCAGGGACCACATTGAACAAATTAAAAGTTCGATGACCACATTACACGTTAGGGCAAAGTTCAAAAATTATTTGTATCGTTTTCCCGAACATTATTTTATATACCTTCATTAAAACCATCCACTTGTGTCCAAGCACTAACGAATTAGTGTCGGGTCATTTTAGCCATGTTGGTTATGTAAAAAAAAATTCATCGTTAAAGCACGACGATGATCGGTCGAAACATCTTCTGGTTTCCCCTCGAATGATGACGGTGTTCCAATCAATGCCGGGATCACCGAGCCCTCGCAGGCAGCGGCTTCTTAAGCCCGCCTGCCGTCGGAGCGGGCGGTGTCGGATCGCCGACAATTTTGGTTATCTTTCGGCTGAGGAGCAAGGCAGAAGGAAATGCCAGGAAAGCTCGAGAGAATCCTCCTTCCCTACCCAACCGAAAAGACAAGATCGCACCACATGTTTTCAAATGCACGACCAAGGCAGGTTGTACCTTAGCTAGGTCGCACTCGCACGAAGGAGCGGACAAAAGACCCCCCCAAGTTAGTCGCTGATGAGCGACGTGCCGTCACGTTTTCACGTTATATTTAAGGCATGACCTAACGTACGACGTCGGTGGAGAGAAGGCTTTACGCGAGCGGTCTTGCTTCGCCCTTAAAATTTGAGAATTGTAATTATCACTCTCCCCAATTTAAGAGAAAATTACCCAAAAAAAAAAAAGTCCTAAACTTATTGCACTCGTATCAATTCAGTCCTAAAATTTTTCGATTTTGTCAATTTAGTCATAAACAATTTAACAATTTGCGAATTGAGTTTTTCCCAATCAATTTTGATTGGAAATTACTGACATCGACAATTATTGTAATTTTTTATTCTTCTTTTTTTTTTATTTGCTCTTTTATATTGTGTCGGCGAGCCGCTCGCGAAGGCCCCTGCCCAAGGCCACTGCGGCCCCAATGGTTGTGGCCAAGGTGACCCTCGCCCAAATTTGGGTGAGGCCTTCACGATCGGCAAGGGCCTTATCAGCCACAAAATAAAATAAAAATTCATAAAAAAAATTATCCATGTTAGCACCGCCCCGTGCCACGTAAGACGACTGGCGTTCGGGTCAGCGATTTTCCGCCCAAAATTGCTAGAAAGACTTAATTGGCAAATTGTCAAAAGGTTTAGGCTTAAATTGGCCAAATTAAAAAGGTTTAAGACCGAATCCGCACGAGTGCAACATATTTATGACATCTTTTTGTAATTTAGCGAGTCAAATCACCCATGTAAAACATTTTTTCGCACCGACAGCTTATCCGATAATTGCTCTGTTAATAGTCAAATTAGAGAGAAAAAAAAGGAGAAGAAGAAGTACATATGAAAATGTCTCTTTCTCAACAACTCCACTTTTCACGAAATTCAATAATGGGCCGACTGCTTTCTCGCTGGGCCTCCAAAGCCCAAGCGAAGCCCAAATGGCGACGTCACTGCAACTCCACTCCTCTCTCTTTCTCTCTGAGTTCTGCCGCTTTTGTTTCGACGACGTTCGGATTTTCCGAACGTTATACATCGCAATCTCGGCCAAATTCTTGCCCGCCGGTTCGAGGGGGAAGTTCCGGTGAGAATCGGAGGCGCGCAGCTCCGCTCCCGTTTGGGCGTTCGGCCGGGAGAAGCTCCGGCGGGCGATCGGTTCCCTCCCCGGACGGCGGCTCAATCTGCGCGAACCTGTACGTCTCTTGCCGTAGTCTCCGCTTTCTTTCTGTTTCCGTGGTTGAATCTGCTCTTTGAATCTCTCCGCCGAGTTGTGTTTTTGAGTCCTTGCGAGTAGCTAATTGCTCTTCAGTAATCGAATTTGCGATCGCTACGTGCTTGTTTGCTCTGGTCATCCGAGCCTCTTTGTCGGAGCAGAAGTTCTCTGAATTTGGCGAAAGGTAGGGAGACGAGAGAGTGGAGCGAAGTATTGATCGTGCTGGAAGTACGAGCTGTGTTGTTCAGTTACTTTATAAAAAAATTCAGTTCCTATTGCCTCTGTCACTGGCGAATGCGTTCACAATCAATGCTTTACAAAGTTGAGTTTTTGCTGAATTGGGGACGGGACATTCCTTGCATTTTCTGAAGATTGCTCCAGTGCCACGTCGATACGTGCTCAATTGACTTTTTGTGCCTTCTTTTGTTGGATTCAAGTAGATCGAAAAATGCTCGTTTCGATATGTTTTGTCTGTATAAACGACTCATTATGACATGCTGCGCAGCATTATAAGTAGAATGTTACCTAAAAACAAAATAAATTGGACCGGCTCTAAGCGTGATGAAAAAGTCACGTGGGTGGGGCTTGGAATCATAATGTGTTGGGTTAATTTCTTCTCTGTACAAGCTTTTCAACTTATGACATGACACGACCTTTGAGTAGTAGGCACGCTCGTCCTCCTCACTCAAGGCCTGGGTTTGGATTACTATGCTCGAGCATTCTCTTGGGGTTACTCCTAGCTCCTAGGAGCACGGACCCATGTGCTTCCAGTTATTACCAGGTGTGTGTGGAATGGTGGACTAATACACCCTTTGCAGATTATTCGGGTGCTCGAAGAGCCCCGGACACCCATTGATGTCAAGAAAGAAACTCATGACATGACATTGGTGGATTGGGTGGGAAGAGGGGTTAGTTATCGGTGATTCCCACCCCCTCCCTCACTCAATATTGGTGCAACTTTATGCAAAAAAAAAAAAAAAAAACCTTTTTGTAACGTTTATGAAATTTTTAATCTAATTAGATACTTCCCCTAAATTGTCAATTGTCTATCTGCCATAGTTTGTGGTATATAAGATTTGTTCACATTTGTTTGTGAATCTGATGTAATGATATGTACTCATTTTTTTTTCTCTAATATGTAGCTACTCTTCTGGATGAATCAATTAGGATTACTTTAGTCAAATGCTGATGTAAATTCAACCTGATAGTCTCTGGACAATATGGTAGTTTCGAAGTAGTCTTTATGTCAAAAGTTCATAGTTCCTTCTTCCTTTAACAGTTTCAGTTGTATCCTCGAAAAGAGTTCTTCAAGAGAACAGTAGCTTCTCCATGAGGATAGATCTGGAACAGCCTTTAGGAGGACGCTACAAGGAAGCTACTTTGTTAAACGCAAATGGAGATACCATTCACTGCGGTGATGAAGGGCTTGTTGGAGATGGCCATGTAATAAATCCTCCAATGGTTACTGAAGTCGAGAGGGAGAAAGATGGCCCAAATTTGGGCAAGTGGTCATCAGACAATAGGGAAAAAAATCATGCCACAGAAGATGTCAATGGAAATTCTTCAAAAAATACAGAGCCCCATGACGGCATGGAGTTTGAATCCAAGGAGGAGGCTTTCTCCTTCTATAGAGAGTATGCAAAGTCAGTGGGCTTTGCCGCCATAATAAAGGCCAGCCGACGCTCAAGAATATCTGGCAAATTTATTGATGCAAAATTTGCATGTACTAGATATGGTAACAAGCGGGAGCCTGCAGCGGATGCAATGGCAGAACCAATTTCAACTACAGATATCATAGCAATTCCTATCAAGAAAAAGCGAGGTAGAACTAATCAATCTGGGTCAAAGACAGATTGTAAGGCTGGCATGCATGTGAAACGAAGGAAAGATGGAAGATGGGTGATTCATAGTTTAATAAAGGAGCATAATCATGAAATATTTCCAGACGAAGCATATTATTTCAGGCATCATAGAAACTCAAATCAGGATGACAGCCAGGGGGATACTCTGCATGCTATCCGTGCAAGAACTAAGAAGATGTTTGTTTCAATGACTAGACAGTCCTGTGGGGATAAGAAACTTCAAAGCCAGAAAGTTGGCCTTACGAATCAACCAAAGAATGATCAGCATTTGCGCTTAGATGAAGGAGATACTCAGCTTATGCTCGATCATTTAATGTTCATGCAAGACCAGAATCCAAACTTCTTTTACGCCGTAGACTTGAATCCAGAACAGCGTCTGAGAAATGTTTTCTGGGTTGATGCCAAAGGCAGGATTGACTATGGAAATTTTGGCGATGTGGTCTTCTTTGACACTACATACATAAAAAGCGAATTCAGGTTACCATTTGCTCCTTTTATCGGTGTGAACCATCACTGTCAGTCCTTCTTGCTTGGGTGTGCGCTTCTGGCAGACGAGACCAAATCAACATATGTTTGGCTGATGCAGGCATGGCTTAGAGCAATGGGTGGACATGCTCCACAAGTCATACTCACTGACCAAGAGAAAGCCCTGAAAGAAGCTATTGCTGAGGTCTTACCAGAATCTCGACATTGTTTCTGTTTATGGCAGATTTTAAGTAAGGTCCCAGAGAAGATCGGTTGCATGATTAAGCAAGATCGAAATTTCACGAAGAAATTCCACAAATGCATCTACGAGTCAAGTACAGCTGAACAGTTTGAGAAGAGATGGAGAAAAATGGTTGATAGATTCAATCTAGGAGATAATTCATGGTTCCTTTCAGCATATGAAGATCGTCACCAGTGGGCCCCGACGTACATGAAAGACATCTTTTTGGCAGGAATGTCTACAGTGCAACGGTCAGACAGTACAATTTCTTTCCTTGACAAGCACTTGCAACGGAAAACTACATTCAAAGAGTTCGTGGAGCAATACAAAACTATTTTACAAGAGAAGTATGAAGAGGAAGCAAAAGCAGACTTCGAAACTTGGCATAAGCAGCCAGGATTGAAGTCCCCGTCGCCTTTTGGGAAGCAAATGGCAGCTACATATACACATGCAGTATTCAAAAAGTTTCAGGTTGAGGTCTTAGGAGTTGTCGCTTGTCATCCCAGGAAAGAAAGTGAAGATGGAGACATCAAAAGCTTCAAGGTTCAAGATTTCGAGGAGAGCCGAGACCTTATTGTGGTTCAAAGTGAAAGAACATTGGACATTTCTTGCTCGTGCCGCTCATTTGAATTGAACGGTTTTCTTTGTAGACATGCGATGATTGTTCTGCAAATATCTGGTGTGCATAATATCCCATCCCAATACATACTGCGACGTTGGACAAAGGATGCAAAGAGTATAGCTTTGTTGAGACGGGGCTCATCTATTATTCAGTCCAGGATTGACCGCTACAATGATTTGTGTCAGCAGGCATTTAAGTTAGGTGATGAAGGATCTTTATCTCAAGAGAGTTATGCTATTGCATCTGCCGTACTTGAAGAAGCTTTAAGAAAATGTGAGAGTATAAATAATTCAACTCAGTCAACGGATTCCAATTCTCCACGACATGGTCTTCAGTACCTTGAAGATGGGAACAAAGGCATCAGAACATCCAAGAAAGATACGAAGAATAGCTCATCAAAAGAGGGAGAGGTTTGATAATTACATGGCTGTAATGTTGTTTTATGTAACCTTTCTTTTGTTTGTTGATACTTTTAAGGGAAATATGCTTCTGAAAGGGCCTAATTATGTAACTTCTAGGAACAAAGAGAAACAGAGTTCTTTGCTACTGGGACAAATAATAGCTGGCATCAAATAGTTAGCTGTGGCATAGCTATAATTTTGACTGGGTCAGTGATATACATGAGGCTTGACAATATGTGTTTTGTGCTCTTTTTAGGGACCATCAAGTTTAGAAGCACCAGCACTTGAATGCTACGATGCTCAAGAAAGCATGCGAGGGATCATATGGAGTAACTGAATAGCAACAATAATGTTCTGATGGGATGGTCTGACCTAGTACAACTCATTTCATGGAAATCTTTGCCGTTTTTGCAGTGTGGGTGTTAACTCATATCTTTATAGGAAAAAACTGAATTCAAGAGCTCCAGCTCTTGATGGCTATTTTGGTCCTCAGCACGTTGGGCAGGGAATGGTAAATCACGTCTCCGTCGTTATCCTTTTGTTGAGTATATTGAATCCACATTGTAACCTGCAATTTATAGTGTTTTATTTCTTATTTTGTTCGCAGGGACAGTAAAAAATGGTAGTCATAAATCGTGTCGATTACCGCAGCAATGAACAAACCTTGGAAGGACTGGTATGGAGCATTGTTTAGTTGATGGTGTTTTCAACCTTACTCTCAAGTGCTTTGGTAAAGTGAGTAGTCGAGCCTAGTTATCTTATTTCATGCTTAGCGACTTCTTATTGGTAGGGTGTTCCGATGGTGAGAATTTCAGTTTTAGCAGCAAAAGCACTGTTGTTGCTGTGTATTCTACTTATCAATTGCACAACTTCAATCAATGGAAAGTAGTAATTCTTTTAGATACCAATTGATGAATTCCCAGTTATGTCTGTGGTTGGCTAACGATGGTCACGTTGTGCTTGCAGAGCCATCTACGTGTCAGGTCGCAAACTCTTCCTGGTTGTTTTGATGCTCAAGATGGTTTATGAGGTATGTAAATCAAGTCATTGTCTAAATTTTTTAAGGTTATGAGGTTGCTTACTGTAATATAACACTGTTTTTGCAGGACCAATGTAATGTAGATCCTGAGAGTGAGAAGTACCCCTATCATGAGCTGCTTGTTAGTACTTGTTTAGCAAAGGGAGTGTAGTAATCATGGGGTAATCTTCCATGATTGTATATGCTGATCCATTTAGGTTATAGTGCTTTTCTTTGTAGGTGTTGCCGCTAGCAACTGTGTAAATGAAGTTACAATCAACCATTAGTGAGGAAGCAAATTTCAGGTGGCTGAAGTCGTCGTTAGCGCTGCCCTCTTTGCTTATCTTGGGCGTGCACTTTAGACAACGAGATTGATGATTGAGACGAAGATTCGGTAGTTCCCAAGTTTTGTGCAGTTTCATTATATGATCTTCTCGGACTTTAATCGCAGATGAACATTTAACGATTATTACCAACTTTGAAGCCCTTTTGCGGATCTATATTTGGCACAATTTTACCTTATAATATCTGGGTCCTTGTAGAAGGATCATGGAAGTCGATTGCAGTTACTGGCTTTTTCACACTTCCTCTGGCCAGAAGCTTTTGAGAATGGAATATTTCTTTGGTAGTTGGTAATAGTTCCAGTTCTTCTTCTAGGATTTCCTCATTTTATGAAGGACAGGAATAGCTAATCTCAGCATGAAACACTTGATCATCCTTGGGAAACACCTAGGATAAAAATCCATCAGCAAGTTGCTTTGAGAATGAATAAAACAAAGCACACTTGTCAAGAGCAATGGACAACGAAATGCTAGAGTCTGGTGGTTCGAGTCATCCAATACACTACAACACCTCGCCTAGGAATTCGAGGAATTAAAGTATGAATACAAATCCTGACTAGAAAACAAAAGGAAAAGGAAACTTGGGAAGTATACCAGAGAAATTTCCGAAGGAACCGGACATTTCAGGCATGTTACAGCTTACAGGTTCTCGGAATTCGAGGTTTGTGGTGTGGATGTGTCCTCAAGTCAAGTAGAATGAGAACTGAGGCTTTAAATTGTAGAATGTTTAAATATTAAATTATGCTTTCACTTATAAGCTTAAGTTTTATGAAATGGTTAGTATTTGTCCCCCAAAAATTTATGTAGTGTAAGAGTCATCAAGAAAGAGATCCAGGTTAAAATCCTAACTTTATCTTTTTTCTCGCCGTTCGTCTTATAAAAAAAAAAAAGAACCCCCGCTTTTGCATCATTGTTTCTACTTTGCTTTTTTTTCTTTTTTTGGTTGAAACTACTCTGATGTTGAGACCATCACCTTTTGTCGTTCCGAGGCCTTTTCTTATTCGTCCATCAAGCTTCATCCTCTCAGATCTGTTTCAATTAAGATTAGCTATCTCGTGAACCACTAGTCTCTCTATTGTCATCGTTCTCTGATATCTGGTCAGTCTTATTGCCGACATCCTTGTAATGGCCTTGTTACTCTTGTCATCAAGATTTCAAATATCTTTTTGTGAGCTGAGCTGCCAGACCACATATTCTTTTTGGTGGAGCAATAAAAGTTAGGGTTAATATCACGAAAAATCCTAAACTGGTATACTTGTGACAAATTTACCTCCAACTAATTTTTTGACCGCGAAAAACGTCAAATTGGTATACCTGTGATAATTTTACCCCAAAATAATTTTTTGACCACCAAAAACTCCAAACCAGTATACTTGTAACAAATTTACCCTATGTTAGTTTCTATTAAATTTTACTGTCAAATTACTGAGTTTGATGACACGTGGCAGTTGACGGGTATACAAGTTTTGGGTTTTACCCCTCTATTTGTCACAAGTTTACAAATTTGTGATTTTTCGTGATATTAATTCAATTTAACGAAGGGTAAATTTGTCACAAGTATACCAGTTTGGGGTTTTTGGTGATCAAAATATTAGTTCGGGGTAAATTTATTATAAGTGTATCAGTTTGGGGTTTTTGGTAGTCAAAAAATTAGTTCAGGGTAAATTTGTCATAGGTATACCAGTTTGGGATTTTTGGTTATCAAAAAATTAGTTCGGGGTAAATTTATCACAGGTATACCAGTTTGGGGTTTTTGGTGATCAAAAAATTAGTTCGGGATAAAATTATCATAGGTGTACCAGTTGGGGATTTTTCGTGGTATTAACCCTAAAAGTTCAGTTACTTCCCCAAAAGAAAAAAAAAATGGTTTTCACATAATAAACGGCAAATTATAAACACATCAATATGGTAAGATTGACTTAGCAGTTAACATACAAATTTATTCGTCAAACTATGGACTAGATGCTCAAAATGAATTTGATTCACCACACAACTAAATGTAAGCAATTTCATATTATGAGAGGCCACTCTAGGTTTTTCTCATGTATTACTTGATCCATTGAGATAATAACGTATCTCTTGATAAATAATTAGAACTGATGAGAAAAATAGTGCTACGAAAACTTGATTGATCGTTCACACAACTGTGGCAGTGTGGTAATCTAGAACACCAAATTATGAGATGTAAAGGATTAAGATGCCTTCTTCAACTCATGTCTAAGGAAATTGTACGATTGGTTTCTTCTGGCCAAAGAATAATTTACCCGAAAGACATATGGATCGAGTCACATGTTGGTGAGACCAGGAAGCAGGCATGAGAGTGGTGGGCTTGGGCTCTCTTCCCGCCATAAAAACACATAGTACATAGTCAAACTACTGCACACCAAAATCAATCTCTCTGTCCGTGGAAGTGTTGGAACTCCTTGTCGTCTTTGCCGCCGCCGCCATCGATCTTGTTAATCAAAATTGAGGAACATAGAAGAGGAGGTGGTGGTGGAACGATGGAGAGGCCGGGGTGGCTGGAGGGGCTGATGGGAGAGAGGTTCTTTGGGAGCTGCGGAGTCCACCAGGATCGGAGGAAGAGCGAGAAGAATGTCTTCTGCTTGCTCTGCTGCTTCAGCCTCTGCACTCACTGCCTCCCCTCCCACCCTTCTCACCCTTTCCTTCAGGTTCCTCTCTTTTCCTCTCTCTTGCATCCTTGCCATGCCATGCGTTTTGCCATTTTTCATTCTTTGCTTCCCCACAGATCCTAGTTTTACTTGTTCATCATAGCAAACTACTTTTACTTCTCCATCTGCTATAACTAGAGCTGATCAGTCCTCCTTCATACTTGATCATTCTGAATTTGTTTTTAAGACCCGTTTCCATGAATCATTGGTCAAATCTCAAATTTTACCTTTTGAACCAGTAAAGTCACACAAACAGCCATAGGTCCATTTCTTCTTTGGCTTCACCCTCTTCTGAGTTGGTCTGTTTACCATTTATGGAAGGGCGCATCTTCTACCCTCCTCTTTCCCTGCAAAAGCTCCCCCTGAGCTGTTGCTTTCAAAAGAAACTCAAAAGTTTGAACACCCCACACCCCCCCTCCCCTTTTAATTTCCCACAACTTATCCTATCCAAATTCATTATCCGTCCCTCTTCTTTTTATTTCTCAAAGAATTTGTTCTCACTAATTATATAAAAATAAGCACAAAGGGTTCATTAATATATCATTAATTCATCTCCTACCGGCTTCATTGGAAATTTGGTTGCCTGCCTTTTTCATCTCTTCTTCGTGCCCGCAAAACCAGAAAACTTACCATCAAATTTTACAGTGATTTATTATAATGGGACATTTTTCTGCATACCTATGATGGACAGCATCATTAGCAAAACAGCACAGATATATTATTGTCTGGTTAATGACAAATGTACTATGAATCATTTTCTAATTTTCTTTGTTCCTGATATATGTCACATTGAAAATAAAAACTCCTGAAAAGATCTCCTGATGCAGCAATTGAACAATCAAATTATTGTCTTCAAGATCTCTTTCCATGACTGGCCTTAATTAGTTCTAGTTTGTGAAGCTATTATAGTGTTTAACTGAACCCATGTCATGTAAGTATGGGCATTGACCCAATCAAGGTTTGGGTTGGTGGTCATGTGACAGGTGAGAAGATATGTATACCATGATGTGGTTCGACTGAGCGATCTCGAAAAGCTCATCGACTGTTCCTTTATTCAGGTAACACAAAACTTTGACTTCCAAAAATCGAATATAGAGGACATGAGGAAACCCTTGGTATGGATGACTGTGAAGAGAAAGGGACATGCATTGATGATATGATTAGATAATGATTTCCTCTTCTTTATTTTTATTTTTATTTTTGGCTTCCTGGTTTGTCTGCAATTGGAGCAGCCCTACACCATCAACGGTGGGAAAGTGATATTCCTGAAACAAAGACCCCAGTCCAGAAACTACAAGGGCCCTTCAAATATATGCTTCCATTGTGACAGGACCCTTCAAGAACCCTTCCACTTCTGCTCTCTTCAATGCAAGGTTCTTTTGCTCTCTTCCTCTCAACTTTAATTGGCCATGTTCATTCCACTGATTTTCATTACAAGTTTCTCGTAAGAGTGTGGACCAACTAATGTCCTATGCCTCGTCATTTCAAAGAGTCCTTTCTCAGCTTGTTTCTTCTCTTCACTACCCCACGCATCGGTGAACTGACTTCAGCATGTCTTTTAAATCTTATCCATATAAAATTCATTTTGACTAATTAATTAAGACAACCGCAAAGGATCTTCATCTCATGCGATTGAGACATTCTTCGACTATATAAGTGCCAAAACATGTTCTTCAAGTTTATAGAAGTAACCTAGTTAGACAACACACGTACAAATTGATCAACGACCATTTTCGAAGCTATTACGGGACTAGAATATATCGAATTACAAATTCAATTAATGGCTTAGTTTTTTAGGTCAAAATGACTGATTAAACTCTATATATAGGTGGATCATCAGTTGGAGCGAGGTGACGATCTGTCTAGCATCCTATACAGTTTCGATGAGGCGGATTTCACAATCATTCAGAACTTTGAGGGTTTAGGAATGGAGAGCTCATCAGACGTGTTGATCGATCATGGCCAAGCCACACCAAGCTCATCGCTTCTGGATGAAGATCACCACTTAATGCGTCATCGTGATTATCGGTACAAGGGCAATAACTCAATGTCATACACGAGTTGCGAGGCCATGAGCAATACATCAAGAGTTTCATGTGATGCCCATCAGCCGACCACGACAATGGTAAAAACAAAAAACAAAAGGAGCGGCAATAAACTCATACCTGGGATTGTTTTGTCTCTGAGCAACAGGAGAAAAGGAGCTCCTCATAGGGCTCCTCTTTCCTAGAAATCCCCTCGTCCTGAATCAATTCATTCACTTCCAACTTAGTACCATCACCCCACATATAATATATTCCTCCAAGTACTACCCTACTATGTTCTTTTATAAGTTACTATCTATATAATCCCATGACCAAATCATGGTACGGACAGCGCTCGTATCAAGTGTTATTCTCCTTTTTTTCTGTCTATCTATATGTAACAACAAGGTGCAATTTCTGTTGCTCGCCATAGCTCAGGTGGATACTGATCCACAAATTTTGTATCCGATGTCATGGAATTTGCATCTGTATAACGCGGTTTATGTATCCATTCTTATATGTAAGAGTGATTAGTCTTCCCTTTTAAGTTCATGCACGTTTGAAGTGAATGTCGACAGATTCATCACTGCATAAGTCGCCAGTTAACAGTCAGTCAAAGGTTTCCCTGTCACCAGCTTTATCTGCCCAAATACACGAGGCGCAGATCCATGTTTTGTAAAGATGGAATCCAATCACAGAGTCCAAACAGGAGGCAATATAAAGGCCATGATTCTAACAGTGCTCGAATAATTGGATCTTCATACCACAGTTTTCTCTGCTGTGGATGAACATGGGTGGAAATTATGGGGGGTGGTTGAGCTTGATGCAGGTTCAGGAGTTACCTCCTGTGATGCCACTTGGCGAACTGGGTGTTGCCCTTCTTGCCATGTGATGAGGACCATACGTCCCAACGGAAGAGTCAGATGGCATCACATGGTTCTGTCAGATTCTCAAACACTCCTTGTATTCTATTATTGTTCTTTGCATCACTTCAATAATGCTTGAGAAATTGCAGGCTACGACGTACATTCTTCTCCATGTCATGCATGAGGGAATGTTTGGTCTTTCCGAAGATACCACGTGCCCCAAAACTCTCGCTTCAAGACTCCCCTACCACGATTCGAATTTGATTAAGCATGAATAGTTTCAGACTTTCAGTATAGGCCTGGTAGATTATTCAAATTCTTCATTGTGTTCGTGCATTCCTAAGTATAAATGGCAATTAATTATGAATTACTAATGCGATATAGAGACTTTTTAACATATATAACATGTTGGAGTTTAATTATCATGTTTCTAATTTAATATTCCATAGCCCAGAGGTATGGGTGTGGAGACTAGACTATCTAAAGGTTCATTAACATTCTACAAGCCCCACAAACCAATTAAGTCCGAGCATCTTTGACCGGTATTGCATAGGTGCCCTAACCCAAAGCGATTTGTATAGAGCAATTAGCAATCTGTTAGTGGTATTCAAATGGATGACCTTCGATTCTTGAGCTAAAATGCTCTAATGCCCCAACCAAGTACGTCAACCTTGGGATTAACTTGTGGAACTTACCCACTTGTTGAACGAATTCCGAATTTTTAGTGTGTTTAGTAAATGAGTGCCCTTAGACATATTTCGAAGTACATTATCAGCTACTTGTCTTTTAATACTTGACTAGACACTACGCATGTTCTTAGTTATCATTATGCTTATTTTAATTTGAACTTTGTAACTTAACATAGGTTTTATTTCTAATTGAACAAATATAGCTATCTATTCAATTATATTGGTAAAAAAATAATAAGAGAATAAGGTTAATACTCTATGCACGCTCTTCGCACGATATTGGGATTTTACTTTTTGTGCCATTTATTGTAAAAGTAGGAGAAAATGGATGGTTACATATGGAAGTGAATATAAGCGGGAAGTTATTAGAAATAATTGAAAGAACATGAGATGAAGATGTTGGCCGAATTCCTCTCTGCTTGCGGATTGTCCATTGAAGACTTGACGAGTCGATACAAGACCGTGGTTCATGTTGCCATAAGAAACCACAACCTCAAAACATTCAAGGTTTCGTTTGGATGATTTAAGCGAGTCCACATGATAAAAATCTTGAACTGGAAAATCTAAGATGGTATCAACGTTTTACATATTGTTGCGTTCAAAAAGTAGCCTAGGTATAAGTCATCGATTTCATGATTGTACGCTCTTTGATTGTTCAATCCTTGAATTCGACATAATGTAATCTAGGAATAGACCAATCAAATGAGCGAGTCGAGTTGGATCGGGTTTTGGTGGGTCGAAAATTAGTCTGACCTAAATTGACTCATTAACCTACATTGATCTATTTTTATGTAATACAATTTTAGTAAGCAATACTTCATTTTGTTTTCTTTGCATTTCTTCTAGATCACCAAGTCGTTGATTGGCCATATCCATGTAAATGCGAAGGACTTCTTAGATAATACAACTCTGGAAATCTTCAAAGTAAATTTTAATGGTGATCAAGATGTTGCAAAGAGGTTACGTCACCAAGGATGTTGAACGTACCAATCAAGGATATGCATAATTAAAAAAAAGATATGGAAAATCTTGTAAATTTGTACTATCACGGGAGATATTAGAAATCAAGAAAAATATCCTAAATATATATAAAAAATATCATAAATATCTCAAACAGTCGCCTTTTTTCTCACTTCTTGTTGGACCCAGCAAATCAAATTCTACGGTGATTAACTGTAAAGAGATAGCTCTTTTCTGTATAGTTGTGATGGACAACCTTACTAATCACGGTAGATAGCAACAACAGTCCATATAGAGTACCGTCTGGTTAACTATTGTCTTGGAGATCTCTTTCCATGACTAGCCATCGAACCCCAGGTTAATGTAACTACGGGAGTTGAGCCAGTCAATGGTTTTGGATCTGTGGTCATGTGACAGGTGAGAAGACGTGTGTTCCACGATGCAATCGACCGGACGATCTCGAAAAGCTCACTAGACTATTCCTTTGTTACGAACACATTTGTATGGATGACTGTGAAGAGGACATACATCAACGAAATCATTAAATGCTGCTGATTTCTCCTCCTTTTTTTTTTTGTTCCTGGTTGGTCTGCAATTGGAGCGGCACTGCGCCATCAACGGTGGGACAGTGATGTTCCCCCCCCAAGTTCAGAAATTACAAGGGCCCTTTGAACATATGCTTTCTTTGTGACGGGACCCTTCAAGAATTCTTCTTCCACTTCTGCTCTCTTCAATGCCAAGGTTTCATTTGCTCACTCCCTCTCAACTTTCATTGGCCATGTTCATTCTGCTGATTTACATCACGAGTTTCTGGGGAGAAGTGTCAAAAAAGTTTTAAAACTTTTGCATTGGTGCCAATTTAGTTCTAAACCTTTTTTTGGTGCCAATTTAGTCTTAAACCTTTTGCATTTGTGCCAATTGAGTCCTAAACCTTTTTTTGGTGCCAATTCAGTCCTAAACCTTTTGTATTGGTGCCAATTCAGTCCTAAACCTTTTGCATTTGTGCCAATTGAGTCCTAAACCTTTTTTTGGTGCCAATTAAGTCCTAAACCTTTTGCATTGGTGCCAATTCAGTCCTAAACCTTTTGTATTTGTGCCAATTTAGTCCTTCCGATTAATTTAGCTCAAAAAGATTTAGGACTGAATTGGCACAAATGCAAAGGGTTTAGGACTGAATTGGCACCAATGCAAAAGGTTTAAGACTCAATTGGCACCAAAAAAAGGTTTAGGACTCAATTAGTACTAATGCAAAAGGTTTAGGACTGAATTGGCACCAATGCAAAAGGTTTAGGACTGAATTGGCACCAAAAAAAGTTTAGGACTAAATTGGCATAAATGTAAAAGGTTTAGAACTAAATTGGCACCAAAAAAAGGTTTAGGACTAAATTGGCACTAATGCAAAAAGTTTAGGACTTTTTTGATATTTTTCCCCGAATTTCTGGTAGGAGTGTGGACCAACAAAAGTCCTCTGTGTCCCGGCATTTCAAGGAGTCCTTTCTCAGCTTGTTTCTTCTCTTCATTACCCCATGCATCTGTGAACTGACTTTCAGCATGTCATTTAACTCCATCCATGTAAAATTTATTTTGACTAATTAGTTAAGATAACTGCAAAGGATCTTCATCTGATGCGTTTGAGACGTGTTTAGACTCCATATGTGCCTAGTACTTGTTCTTCGAGCTCAAAGAAGTAACTTAGCTAGAAGACATACATGCAATTGATCAATGACATTTTTGAAGCTGTTATGAGATTAGAATATATATCGAATTTCGCATTCAATTGGCAGCTTAATCTTTTAGGTCGAAATGGCTGTTTAAACTTTATATGTAGTTGGATTATTTATTGGATCAAAATGAAGATTCGTCAAGTATCCTATATAATTTCGGAGGAGCGGATTTCACAATCGTACAGAACTTTGAGGGGTTAAGAATGAAGAGTTTCGTCAAAGGTGTTGATCGGTCATGGTCAAGTCACATCAATCTCATCACTTCTGGATGATGATCGCCACTTAATGCATCATCATAATTGTCGGTACGGAGACAATAACTCAATAACCTGCACCGATAGTGAGGCCATGAGCAATACATCGCATTAGGAGTTTCACGTGCTGCCTATCAGACGATAACCATTGTTAAAAACAAAAACAAAAGTAGTGGTAATAAAGTCATCCCAAGGATTGTTCTGTCTGTAACAACTCTAACAAAAGGAGCTCCTCGTAGGGCTCCTCTTTCCTAGAAATTCCCTCCTCCTGAATAATTTCATTCACTTCCAACTTATTACTATTACTCCATATATAATAAATTTCTCCAAGTACTACCCTTACTACGTTCCATTCTAATTTATCACATATATAATCCCATGACCAAATCATGGTACGGACGGCCCTCATATCAAGTATAGTGTCTTTTTTTTTTGTCTATCTAGATGTAACAACAAGGTGCAATTTCTGTTGCTCACCGTAGCTAGGTGGTTTACGGATCCGCTAATTTTGTACCTGATGTAATGGAATTTGCACCTATATAATGTGGTTATCTGTACATTCTTAATTATGTTTTAAGAGTGGTCAGTCTTCCTTTCTAACTTCGTGCACGTAGATGTTCATTTTACTTGCGTTTGAAGTGAATGTCAACAAAATTATCCATGCATAAGTCTCGGGAAGATTATAGGGTAAGGACAAAAGCAACACACATACAACAGAATAATTCACAATTTTACATCCTGTATAACAAGTGATTGGGAGTTCCACTTTCTAGTAAGTAAATGAATTTTAATGTACTCACAATATGTAGTTAAAAGTCACGAGAGTATTACTGAAACTTTGGGTTAAAAGCAAGGGAACTATTACAGCACCCGTCTGATCTATCGTTGTGGAAAACTCAATTGCCAATGACATTAAGAGGAACAAGTGACGAAGAACCCACCAATGACTGACTAGTTTATGGACATTGATTTACTCTTTCAGATGGCAATAGAGATTTGTGTAGAAACAAGACTTAAGAGTATGGACAGTT